TACATACATACATACATACATACATACATACATACATACATACATACTAACATAACAAAACAAAACATAACATAACATAACATAACATGACATGACATGACATGAATACATACATACATACATACATACATACATACATACATTGTTTCAGCCAGTGGCCTCTATGTGTGTTGGGTATGTCCGTACATGTTGTCGTTGATGTTGGAGTTGATGTCCTGAATTTGCACTTATGTAAGTGTTGATGTTGGAGTTGATGTCCTGAAATTGCCCTTATGTAAGTGTTGATGTTGGAGTTGATGTCCTGAATTTGCCCTTATGTAGTGTTGATGTTGGAGTTGATGTTTTGATTCTGCCTTTCCAGAACTCTGGTGTGGGCGCTGTGAGTTTTCATGTTGGACTTGATGTTGTGAATGTTGGGAAGTTGGGCCTTCCATTTGTTTGTAACTTTGGCGCCTTATGAAATCACAGTTTTGGAGTGGATGGGCGGGATGTAAATGTTTCATTTAGTTGCCATTGGATGATATAAACACAAAGGCGGGTTGCTATAGTTTGGAAACGCGTAACATTGTTTAAATATGAATAACTCATGTCGGAATCGTGAGCCATGTTCATAAATAGTTCGATTAAGGTAATGGTGCATTTGGCAGAGACGTGAGAAAAAACTGTTCAGTGGATCAAGGTTGAGAAATAGAGATGAGTCCCTGCGAGTCTGGAAAGACAACCAAGTATAGTATACTTAAAAAACAATCCAGTTCAGGTATTTTGTTGTATCAAGTCCTGCTATCTAATTATGAGTTAATTTTGCCTTGGATTGTTGCTGCTTGCCACACAGGCACCATGGACAATACTATTTTAGTGGGCGCTGGCAGGCAAAAGTCATCAGCAATCACAGTGATGAATGATAAGTAGTGATGCAGAACGTGATGCTGCTTCTTGCTTGACAGGACTCCATTCAGTTGCACCATAGGTTTCAATCAGGGGATGTACAACCATACAACATCATTTTCCTCTTGGTACATCAGTATGTCATATCGAGCGGCATTTTACAACAAACACTCACCAATGCAGTCACTTCTTCTAAGACAAGGCATCGTTCCTTGTGTGTTTGATTCTTTTGGCTCACCAAACCCCAACAAAATGCACGCATGGGCTCTGCCTGGCCTTACTTCAGCCCTCCAATATACAGCACTGCAAAATGTAGGGCAATGCAACAAGAACTTTTACAAGTTTGCTTATAGCACTAATGTTGTATCGAGTCAGCAAGCTATGCCAAGTACGCACAAGATCTTTGCCTATTAAATATGAATATACTCTGTCTTTCAAAGAGTCAACTTGCGCATGTCCCCAAACGGTTTTAAACGGTTTACAGAGAAACCACCAAACGGTTTTAAACGGTTTAGCGGACCTTCTAATTTAAAACTATTGTAAACTATCTCGAGCTATATCAAACCATTGCGTGAATGTACCCCCAAACGGTTTTAAACGGTTTGATGGATCCGTCCCAAACGGTCTTAAACGGTTTCATGGATCCTGTAGCAATGTACATCTTGGACTTTCAATAGATGGCTGATTTCTGCTCTGGAGATCTTCAGATGCCTATACTTCAATCCGTGACCAAAAGGTATACATGACATGACATGATTCATGACTTCACAAGTCATAGACACCATTCAAAAGCTTGAAACTGCTGACGTTGAGCATTTGTATATGGCAACTCGTGGATTGTGAGTTGAGTTTGAACTACTCAATGTCAATTGTTCCTGTTCTAAGTACTCCTACCAGGGAGAAAAAACCGTTTGACTTGACAAGCCTGGACTTGACAAGCCTGAGATTTCGGGAAAGCACACAAGCAGGATTCAGAAGGAATTGTGACAACAAACTCAACAAGTCAGAAATCGGGAAAACTAATTTTTGCAGGAAATCCCGACCAGGTCCGGAACCGTCTGATAGAGTTCGAAAAAGCTCGAGAACTGGGAGGGGACTGCCTGTGAACCGTTCGACACCGATCGAAACCGCGTTCGAAACCGTTTTAAACCGTTTGCGAAACCGTTTTAAACCGTTTGCAGGTACAAAAGGCTCGAAATACTATTGTCCTTTATTTTGTGCGTGTTCGTGTGCGTGTGCTGACACTTGCGATTGCCCTCCGAAATTTCCTCACCAGCGAGGGAATGCAACCGAGCCAGGAACCACCAAACATTTGGGAGAGCACAAAGGAATCTGACATATGTCAGTCTTTGACACGGGAATGAAGCTCACAGGTCTATCCGTCTACAAAATGATGGACAATAATGGCAAAATACTGGGACATTCATCCGGAAGAGGCTTGGAGACATAATCTACTGTCCAAGAATACAACTTCACTCTCATCTATAGATATCTGCAGTATTTCATCGATGCTTATCCTACTGTGGCCGTAGGTCTTGTTCTTTGTACATCAATCCAATGTGGTTTTTATAGGTTTGACCCCATATGGTACATGTAGTATCATTAATCCCATCGAATGTTTCCTTGTGCAATTAGCATGTCATACCTTGCTTAATGTCATGGTAACGCAAAATGACTCTGCATTAGCGGAAGCTGGAAAATGCGTTAGTTGAAAAATGGGCGCTGTGCTTGGCGGTGGCATACTTTACAAGCATAATAAAATATGTGTCTATAGTGTACAATTCATGCTTTCCCCAAGCCAATGAATCATTTTGTGTCGTAGTCTGGAAACATGCATGGTTGATGCAAAAACGCCGTTGTCACACATTTCTGACATTTTGCCAAAATGATACCTGCTTGGCGTCACTTCTTCTAGTCAGCCTCAGCCACTAGCGCAGTCTGTCATAATTCTATCTAGGCGTCTTTGAGTCCGCGGTAAACTATGTGTATATATGATATATGGCATGTGACCAAATTCAGATGCCCAAATTAATCCATCACGACTGACCACGGAGATGTGTTTTCTTGTTTCAATGGTATCACTTGCGCTCATATAGAATCAAACAGTATCATCTGTGTATTTGCGCCAGCTTCAAATGAAAGCACCAAAAGTTTTGAAAGAGTGGTACCATCGATGCCGCGTCCATTGAAAATTGAAACAGCTACATTGGAAGATGCAGGTTTGCAGCATAATTCTATCGTTCATATCCATTTGAAGAAGACTTACTTTAAAATAGTCACAATATCTGTATCTAGACGTCAGGATGGGACATTTGTCAGGTCCCTTACTGCAACATACTGCAACAAATGTGAGATAGTTGGATAAATTCATCAAATGATTTTACAACAATACACGTTTTAGATTCTGAACGTGACATTTGTTTACAAACCCAATCAGCATTATACAATTGCTCTCTTGTTGAGCAGGTTGCAGATCACATGGTCACCCTGTGTAAAATACTATATATTACTATATATATTATATTTAGCAAGTCCTGTTTGCCAAAAAATGCACTTTGTCACC